GATTGCGAAGATAGCCTGTATGAAAAACTGTACTAATCAGTTTTACTCGGTATATGCACCCAGTATTTTAACTGAAGCCTTCCGTCTTAAACCTAAAAATAGTTCTGAAGGCCGTCGATTCTTAAGTCACCATTTCTTGTATTATACAATAAGTCTAGATTTTTATTCGATTATGCGATGTCAAACGTTTTGCGGGTCATTTGCATGGTTTACGTACGTATTCGCTCCGTAAAGTTGCGGGTCGATGCCCAAATGATACTTGAGAAACGGTCTGCATACTTGACGTTGATTGAGGCTCTGTATACTCCGTTTCATACATCAGGTGCAACGCTGTGGGGGCTATGCAAATAGTTCGGTCAGCAAAGTGTGTGACTGAGCGCGTCTCGTGCTTGGCTTTCATCGTTGTAAACGCTCGTGCGAGACAAGCATGAACGCGCTCGCACTACATCACGAAAGGCGACAAATAAAACACCAGGAAGTGAGAACACAGAGACGCTAACTGATCCAGAAAAGACGGCTTTTTACAAGGAGGTTGGAAAATAAATGCTGGAGTAGAAATTCTTGCCCACAAGTGAAGCCGTGCCAGCCGTAAGATGGCGGCTGGGGCAGCCTTCTTACTAGGGGCATAATGAGCTGTTGACGTTTGGCGACCGAGAACGAGCGTTTTCCTCGCACGTCTAACGAGCTCAACATGGCAACCTCTTAGCGTCAGATAGTGCTCATAGCGCGTTCTTGTGTTACTAGTTTTCTTTAGTAAGCCTGAAATCCAAGCCAAATTTCATTGGAGATTAAGTCACTGATACTAGTCTCTGCGAATTATTTTTCGGAAACGACTATCTTTTAATTTAAAATTAACGTAGCAATTAGGTCAACAAATGAAAGCCACTTGATCTCTATAGGTGGGCATCACCAGAAAATAGCATGTTTCTGAGATCTTTGGAGGGCAAAAGCTGGCTTCACTACTGCTGGCAAAGCATTGCCGGAGCTTCCACTCCAGCAATATATTTTTTAAAAACTCCTTGGTCTTTACCTTCGACTACCAAAGCATGTTTATTTATTATTAAGACATAAGATGAAATAAAAGCATGTCTCAGATGGAAAAATCATTGCACTATTTCTTAGTGCGGACGCATTCATTGCAAGAAGTCTCGCTGGCCTCCGTAGAGTCGCACCTGATGTATGAAATGGAGTATAGAAGCACGGCATCCCCGCTAAGCTTCGGCAGTGCACGGCACACTGTCGGAGCTAATCGCGGAGGCAACGGGGGAAATAACCTACGTACTACATAATTATAGCGCGTGCGCTGGCAGCCTCAAGCCTACCCCACCGCTTAAATAGAGGCTCGATCCACCCCTCAATCAATTATTGACGTTTCTACGTCACGTCAATATACTGGATCCGAGTGCTCGTCAAAACTTTGGCCGCAACATTGTTACGGGGAAGACAGACCCAGAAGGCACAGACTTGAGGGAATGTATGTATTTACAACTGGTTAGTTGAGTTGAGCTGCCAATATGAACAGCTCGTGCCAATCCCTCTGCTCTCGTCCTCTTCTTCGTCTTGTTGATCGCTATGCCACTGGTACGTGGTAATATGTTAGAGTGAAAGGTTAAGCTAGTCTGTAAGAAACGCAACAGAGGATAAACTACCATTTTTTCAAACGCAGTTATTGTTCCACAACATACGTCATGGTGGCGTGAGAAACTTCCAAGTGCCTCGCGATAATAACCCAGCTCTTGTCCTGTCGTTTTCGCCACTACATTCTTCTTTATTCGTTCCTTCAGGTGAAAACTGTTCTTATCTGAGCCAAGAGTTTTAGAAAACCAAAGTGACTTGTTATACTCTCGCGGTCAGTCCTGACTTGCCACGTATAGAAGTCTTTAAATGAAAACTAACAAAAATAATTATTTTTGTCGTTAGTAAATTGTTATATCACAATTGCAAAATCACCATGCTTCCAGCGAGATGTTTGGTGAGATAGAAAAGACGCAAAAAGCGGCGGGTGCCCCTTGAAACTCCCGCATCAAACAACATGACGTCATTGATTTTTGTGGCGTCTCCTAAGGCCCCCGTTTTCCTAATCGGTGAATACGAAGTGCGCACAGATCTCTGATGGGGCTATAAACTAAATATACCAAGTTCTAGGATGATTAGTTGAGACTGCGTCGCCAAAATGCTGCAGACCCATTTCAAAATCCGTGACGTCGCAGATGTTTTAGGCACGTAATTTAACAATGCAACTTTGATCTTGCCTTTCTCCCCTAGTAATGAAAACGTGGTGGTGAAATTAACATCAGAGTTCTCAGAGCTAACGCGAGTCCTAAAGAAAATTATGTGAGTCGCAAGAATTACAAAAAAAGAGGTAACTCCCAATCTCTCAAGGGGCGAAGCACCTTTGCGACTCGGCTTGTCGGCATGGTATAATGGGTCCCACGTTAATGGTTATACGCCTCAAAAATTGGATTCCTCCCATTACTCGCCAGTGGTTCGTACTGTGTATAGTGCGAGTTAAAGGCTCGTCGTAACTGCTTAAATGCGTTGTCACTGGCGTAGCAGCAGCGTCCGACTGCCTTAAGCCATTTATCAAGATGGCCAGGTTTTTATCTAAAACCAGGGACAAGGACATGTATCTCTTGAAAAATATATAAAAAGTAATAATGTGGGAGTGGATCAGTAGTAATTGGAGCTGTAGTAAACTGTAATGTCAAAAGTTGTGTTACTTACGTGGTTAACCTACTTATTTAGGGACGGCTTACTGCTCTCCCATATTCGAGTGCCAAGTACTAAAAATCGTTCAACACTTATTGTAAACACAGTAGGACAATTATGCTTAAACAAAACTGAGCAGCTTTATTTGGCTTTCTAGTACGGGGGACGGCTTTCAGCTATCCTATAGTACAGTACCAAGGGATGTAAATCGTTAACCATTGCTTTTAAACGCAGGTCGCGAAGGCTCGGGCGAAAACCGGCTACAAGCTATTGCCAGCGACCTCAGCATGGGGAATTATGGGAGCTGCCATTGAAGCGCGACTATGTGTGTGTGTGGGAAACAAGCACTAATAGAAAAACGACGTTTGATTTAAAGTCAAAGCAATCAATAGGTTTCACAAATGATATTTCTATTCCCCAACAATAATATGTAGGTGTAATGAACAAAGAATTTATGATGGTTTTTATTATTACGAAAAATCTTTTTTCTGGAGCCTTTCGCCCATGCTGTTATTACTCAGTGCAACCCTTGCACTACATGGGTACACTTGGCAAGGCCCACTCGTAAATATCGTTCTGCGAAGACAGACCCCTTCCAATGTTTTAGTGTTCTGTGCTTGCTTACGTTCTCTGTTGTGTGCAAAATTGTTAGGTGCGTTTTGGAGTTGGTGAACGTCTTCAGTGCAGTGTCCAACGAGCAGCGGAACGATGCGAATAACAATTACCACCGAGTGCTTTCGTGGATAGCTGCGGACACGATCCACTGTGCAAAGATGCTGTAGCGCCCCGCCGCGGTGGTCTAGTGGCTAAGGTACTCGGATGCTGACCCGCAGGTTGCGCGATTTAATTCCGGCTGCGGCGGCTGCATTTCCGATGGAGGCGGAAATGTTGTAGGCCCGTGTGCTCAGATTTGGGTGCACGTTAAAGAACCCCAGGTGGTCGAAATTTCCGGAGCCCTCCACTACGGCGTCTCTCATAACCATATGGCAGTTTTGGGACGTTAAACCCCACATATCAATCAAAATCGTAAATTTTAGAACAAAAATTTTGCTGTGGTAAACACCGGGGCACACTACATGCTCCTTCGCCTCTTCCCAAGTTTCACGTTAGCGGAGCTGTAAGGTCTTTTCCTGCATGAATCTCTGCAACAATCCTTTTCATTCTTTCATCTCAGGGGGAACCATAACTTTTGCAAAGTTAGCCTAGGTGCACAGTGGCGCACTGCCGCTCCACACAGCTGTCGGATAGCTGCGCATAAAATCTCTCTGAAAACACGTGGCCGGTCTCGCGTTTTAACTGGCACTCGTGCCACCGAACAACAAGACACGCTCGTTGTGCGTGTATGTGAGTGTGCGCGGCCTCTTCTGATAGTCGGCAGCCCTGGAGCCCCAAGGCGGGCATGAAGGGATCTTACTACGCGGCGTGTGTTATTCTACACGCGGACATCACAGCTCGTGTTGTGTATATGCATCACGCGCTCGAACTCGCCTCAGCTCACTCTGATAAAGGACATGGCGTGCAAACACGCACACTGAACTGGGCATGCGCAGATCAGTTTTCGTGTCTCCTGTCTCTTCCGCTGTTGTGCGTGTTTGCACAATAATGAGCAAGTACCAACTATCTCAGCTTTTCTCTTATCCTGCACCTCAACTTGCAGGTTGCGGTCACGAAATTCGTCCTGCAAATACCGGTACAGTTTCTACGGGAGGCGAGTTGTAGGGGGAATGGGCGAGGGAGGTAGGGAAGGAGCTTGAACAAGCAGTCAGCTAACGCTACCGATTTGAAAGGAGGCCTTTCTCATATCTCTTGCATCTATTATTCCTGTTGGTGTTCTGACGTCAGGTATCGAGAAAACATGTCGACACTGATCTTCTGAGTGACTCCTATCGGGACACCGACTCCGAAATGTAGAGTTTCCATTCTGAGGTTATGTTTCTACACATAGTGACTGCATCGGGCACCTCACGAGAACAAATCCTTAATACCAACCACAACTGCGGAGCTCGTGATGATACAAATATCTTTTGTTTAATCAGGGCGAAAGCGTTCATGAGCGGGATGTGTCGAAGGTGTACGGGCCGCCTGCTTGAGGTAACTGGCATACATTCTAAATGCATATATACGCGTGAGCGCTTGTATACAGTTGGTGGGCGCTGTTTGTTGTTGTGAAGCCATATGCCAAGAACCACACGTTCAAACCATTTTAAAAATACATAATATACTTCCAATAAAACCGGCAAGAGCAGGACGCTTGTGAAGCGCTATCAGGTGGCCCATATTTATATACGTACCTCCATTGTCCATGAAGTCTTGCGGGTCGTATGAGAAGCCTCCGCTTTCGAGAGGGTTGCCGCAGTGGGCGTGCTCTCCCGGCAGCTGCAGGTTGAAGACGGACCTAATGCCGTGGCTGTGCAGAGTCCATCCGTCGTCATGGAAACAGGGCACGCAAAGGCGTTGAGTGCGTGCAGTAAGAGAAAAATGATGGAGGAAAAGATCAGATCCCCCAAAAAATGTGTGGAAAGACATGTTGGTGATAACGATCGACAAAGCCTCGTTCATACACTTTGTCTGTCATGTTCTTACAAATAATAACGAACGCATGAAATGCATGCATTTGGGCGAGTTTGCATTGCCCCGTGTTGATATTTAGGACTGCAAAACAGACAAGATCCTCGAGAATGACTACGCAGAATGAGCGCTCATTTCAAAGAAAAGTTTAGCCACAGAAGATTACTAAGTTTCATCTTACACCGATACGTGGAAAGGCATGCGTGAAACCCCTCACAACTTAAAGACAGCTATCACCTGACCGTTGGATATGTCCTCAGTTGCTTCTCATCTGTTTTGTGAACATGATGCGCAGGAGGCACTTGACTGGTTTTCAAATACGAAGCACGTACGTTATGAGCGAGCTTGATCCAATGGCACCCACGCTCCACTGCGCATGCGCGTCCCCCCTACCCCTGTTTTCTATCCTATGCTCCCCCTCTCTCATCTAGGCAACCCCATCCACCGCCTTTACGCCCTCAATGCGCATGCGCGTCCCCTTTTCTCTCTCCTACACTCCCACCCTCTTTCGCCTCTCAACGCCGACGCAGGCAGCGTCTGCTAACGAGTTTCTTGATTAAAAAAAGACTACTCGTGCTGCGCAACCGTTGATTGGCCGCCCTTTATATACAGACCCTTTTACTGTTTACAAACACACGCCTTTCATGACATTCGCTTTCATCCACCGATGCGCCATAGTAACATCGGTGGGTAAGAGGAGCTTTAGAAAATATCCCGCTCATTTCATACACTTTTCTTCTCCTATTTTGCAAAATATATTCAAATAGATGTTATTTTGAGCTACACAAAATTACAAGACTTCCTTGAACTTAACGCGCGTTCTTTTACGTGAAAAACCAATGAGCAACTTTCCTTTTTCTTGTAAAAAAAACTTGAAACGTGCATACAGTTTCGACGTTAGGAGATGGTAAATGAGCTGACCGGAAGTTTTTTTTAAGGGGTACAACGCTTGCAACCTTGAAACCGTCTATACACTGGATCTTGGCCTACAAGGTAGGGCCGGGTGGAGATTTCTACTGTGCGTTGCTCAACAATAAAAATTCGCAGCGTGCGCTTTAACTAAGAGCGGACTGCGCGTCTTTGTGTACAATGAGAGTCCTCTCATTGCCCGTTAGCAGCGATTGGCATGTTTCAGTAGGAACACCAGCCCATCACTACGTGCTGTGCGCTTCCCCTGGTTTCTCTCGTGTGCAACGCCGTGAGGAGCGTCAACGCCACCCCAGCGTTAGCGCCCGCTGCTTCGCATCTACAAATGGTTCCATTAGCAGGAGATGGGGAAGTTTCAGAGCAGCCTCAGAAACACTAGGGTCTTCATAATTGCGTATCTATGTGTTTTCTAAAAAAAGGACACACCACTTAATGCCCACGTATTGAGGTTGCCCCTTGCGTTAGCGCTGTAGCGATCAAGCTATGCCTTGACCCAGCGGGTCATTCGCCACGCCGGATTAGTGCCGAAAGGACAGTCTCGCCACGGCTGGACGGAGGAAGCAACAGAGGCCGGCCCCACGAGACGTCGCCTACTGATTGACAGCGGCGCCAACGGGGTGGAATGTCGCCAAAGAGGGTTTTGGAGCCGCCGCTCTATCTCCCGCCTGGGCCAGCCACGCATCGTTAGCGCGTTAACCAGCAGACGACGACAGCGCTGGTCAAAGGGCTCTCCCCAGAGGTTTCCACGAACCGGGCACCTCTCAAAAGATCGGCGCTTGTTTAATCCATTGTCAAGTAGCCGACCGGCTGACTGCCTATGCCCGCCAGGCATTGTCCCGGAGTACGAGACGTAGTGTCGCCAAGACGCCGCGACGCCACAAAGAGGACAACAGGGACGGCGTCTTCCTGGGGGAGACCGCGGCGGTTGCCGTGGATCGCCCCGCTAATTGAGCGAACAAAATCGGCGGACCCCTTTGAAGTATGCGGCCAGGATCGTGGGCACTCTCGACTAAAGGCACACACACGACGAGGAAGAGCCCTGCTGGCGCCACCACAGTGCAGTGTTCACGTGTACCTTGCAAGCTCGCCCCCCCCCCCTCACCTGTGTGTGCGTGATTGGTGGTCGACTCGTCGAGGAGGAGCCCGACAGGGCATAAAACGACGCGGCAGAGTGCTGGACGTTGCTCTGAACCTTGCTCTGAACCTTGCTCTATGAACCTTTCTCTGAACTATGTAAAGTTTAACCACCACGCTCGTGGTTTGTGAAGCCACTAGTTCTTCTCTTCTCTTCTGTCATCTCGACAACTCACTGTAAAGATGTAAATAAATCCGTTAAGTTTACTCAAAGCTCTCCCCTAGTCCTTGGCTCGACGGAGAGACGGCGATCGGCCCCGCTACCCGAGACTGCGGTCGCCGCGACGCGCTACAACTGGATGGCAAGCGGTGGGATGCCATCAGCGGCGACCTTCCTTCCCATCCCTAACAGCGCCCGCTGCTTCGCATCTACAAATGGTTCCATTAGCGGGAGATGGTGAAGTTTCAGAGCAGCCTCAGAAACACTAGGGTCTTCATAATTGCGTATCTATGTGTTTTCTAAAGAAAGGACACACCACTTAATGTCCACGTATTGAGGTTGCCCCTCAGAGTTTCTCAAAATTAACTAAAGGGCACTCTGGTGCTGGGATCGTTCAGCGACCATGGGAATGATGGGTAGTACACACATTTGCCTAGTCTTCGTACTTGCGGGCGGCGAATCATACTTGCGGCTTCGTTTATTGCTGGTTACGGTTTTGTTTTGAAAGAAAGAACAAACCCTTTTGAACTTAGTGACTTGATTCCAAATGGTAAGCCTAAAAGAATAAGGTTGTGAAGCGCAAACGGTGAACATATGCTAATTTATGTTTTCGTGAAAAAACAGCTCTAAGCCACACGAACACACACGGAGCCAGAAACAGGCCAGAAGTACAAAAATTAGACAAATGTGTGTACTACCCATTATTCCCATGCTCGCTGAAGCGCCGTGTGTTGCAGCTCCCTTAGACACTATCACCAGAGTTCCCTCTAGTGTATATTAAGAAACACTAAGTGTTGCCCCTCACGTATGCGTAATAGTTGTTTTTTGATCGACTATGCTCACAAGTATGAATGCAGCCACCACTTCAAGATGACCGGGCGATGAGCAGTTGCTTAAAGGTCAACTCCAGCGATATCTCGAGGTTGATGTATTTCAATGAAAATGACTGGGTACGTTGCTTTTCACATTTCCGTCATTTATGCCAAATTACAGGCTTGAGAGACGCACTGAATCTTTGCAAATTAATTTCTAAAATTGCCCCGAAAAGCTCACCTTGCTTGCCAGAATTATTAGCAACACTGTCTGTGTGACATCATGTTTGGCATGTAAACGGAAGTGACGCAGCCGATGGCATCGCTACTTTGGCCGCTACAGCGTTTATTGTGCTAGCCACGAGGCGACAATAGCGGTGTTTGGCATGGGTATAGCACGAGAAAGCTTTCTTCCTTCCTCTGTGGTGTTTGGCCAGCGCTTCACCGGTCTGGCTTTCACAGTTTTCATACTCCGCGCCGGCGGAACCAGTATACGGCCTCCGGTTCTTACCAAATAGTACGTCATACGCAGACGGGGCGCCCGGTTGGGTTTCGCTTTCGGCATTGCACCTTTTTGCTCATTGTAAATTGTTTTCGAATTTCCTGAGCATTCCAGCTATTGGGCTCGTGACAAAAGCGTCTCTGGAACATAGAAACAGCATTACCTTGACATGGTCGAAAAATCGCCGGAGTTGGCCTTTAAGCCTTGGCCTGGTGGCTAAATCACTTCGTGTGACAGACAGACCAAATTTCTGCGCTGAAGTATCCTAAAAAAGATTGTCGACTTTCAAATGAATCGCGGGGATTCGCGTTCTTGAAAAAAAAGTGAATTAACTAGATATCGGGGAATACGAAACGAACGGTGAGAATCGACCTGCTGGCCTTCACCCAGTGCCGCAGCACATGACGTGCACACTGTAGGCTTTGGAAGGAGAGGAGTCGACATCCTTGTTCCGTGCCGCCAGCCAACGCATTGATCAATACACTGAGCTACAGTTATACGAACAGGTCCGGCGAGCCAGCCAGCCAAAGAGGAGAACCACCAACTTTTCCTTCGTTTTCTTTTTTTTTTTTTTCGTTTTGTCCACCCAAGAAATGGTGGCGTGAGAGCTCGAACGAAGACTCTAGCTAGAGTAAAAAAAAAAAGGAGTCATATCTAGAGTAAAGAAAAGTGAAGTTATTGACCAGTCTTTTTTCCGCACCAAGCAAGCTGAGGCCGTCTGGGTCCAAAGTCACTTCCGATTACTATGTTTCTCGGGCGGGGAAGGCGAACCGTCGGCATCGCTGGCTTTTTTTTTTTTTTTTTTTGGAGCTCCGGGTTTCTTCCATCTCTCACTGGCCGCGCTCTTTCTCGCCTCCCATCTCCAATGCACCTGCCAATTTTCTAATGACAGGTATTTCCGAGTTTCTGGCCGTCTTCCCTAACCAAAATACTGTGTGTTTCGGTGCGCTCACGAAACTACTTTATTTCGTGCTCGAAAAATGGGACAGGCGTGTGAAACTCAACATAAAATAAAATTGAGTGAGCGGGCAAAAGGAAACAGCGCGTAGCACACTGTATCCTCAGCCTTATTGCTAAGTCCTATTGAATGGAGCAGAGCGCGCAGTCACAACCAGTGCAATCACTGACGTGTTCTATCGATTCGTCAGTCTACGATGGAAGTGAGGTGCTTTGTGAGTGCACTGAGCTTCTTATGGGCGCTGTGTCGCAACATGCTCGGTGAAATAGTCGTTAGCGAGCTCCTGAGGAGGGGCTAGAGCTTACGGACCCGTGGCCCGTTACAAGAAAGCACGCCCTTTAATGAT